TCTTCTCATTTATTAATTAGTTGTTTGTGTTTTTACACAATTCTTTAATCAATTCCACTTCAACATCAACAATAATAAAATACATCACTTCATACAAATTGGTTGTGTTTGAAGAAAAGGAAAAGAACTTGAAAAGAACAGAATGATTGAAGAAATAAAGAAGGAGTACAAAACACTGAAATGTAGTGTGATTGTTATTCCAAAAACAAGTAAAGAGGTAGTTGAGAGGATTAAGAAGAATGGAGAGAAGTATAAAATGATTTACATTATCTTTAGTGGATTAATGAATGGAATGATTTCATATTGGAAGAGTGAAAGTGGAGGAATTACTTATTTGATAAGTACAATGATTATCATAATGATGTATTTGAAAAATAAAGAGAGAGTTAATAAGATGATGGAAAGATTGAATATACCAGTGTGGATGATAACATACATTGGAAATATTGGGAGTGTTATTGTGATGGGAATGAGAGGAGAAGGAGGAATTTGGTATTTGTATGTGTCAAACAGCACATCAATTATATTTGGGATACACTCTATTATAACAAGTAATTATAATTGAAATTAATTGTTATTCATCTTGAAAATAAAATAGAAGAAGAAAATGGGAAACACCACTACAAAATATAAAGACAATAAAGGGAAATTAAATATCGAAAATATACTGAATGTATGTAGATATATTAATAAAGAAGAGGATTATATACAAATGATGATGGTGAACAAGAAATACAAAGAGATTCATAAGAAGATGAAATACAATCCATTCAGTATTAAATCAAAAAAGATTTTTCCTAAATTAACAAATCAATTTTTATATTCAAGAAATGACAATAAAATTAAAGGAGTTCATCATATTTTAGTTGAAGTTATTTCATATTCAACATATATGAAAGAAATAGATGATGATAATTATTGTTGTAATATTAAATATGAAGAAGAAGATAAAGAAGAATATGGAGAAAAGATAGAAAATGAATGTAATTGGATAGGCAGATATTATGATAGAGAAATTAGAGAAATAAGAATTGAAGAACATATTAAACAATGTGTTGATGAATGTTTTAATGGATATACAAGTTTAACAAAAATAGAATTAACACCACATCTCTATAAACTTCCATTTAAATGTTTTAATAATTGTAAATCATTAATAAAAATTAATATTGAATATGTTACATATATTGGAGATAATTGATTTTCAAAATGTACAAGATTAAAAGAAATACGAATGAATAAAGACATTGGATATGTTGGGAAATGTAGTTTTTTGAATTGTAAAAGTTTAATAAATAACAGAAGTTCAGGGAAAATACATATTTATCAAAACATTCCATATAGGGTTTGGATGATATTAAAAGAAGAAAATAATTCAGTTGAAGAAATTGAATATACAAATGAAGATAGAGAAAAGTAAGGATATGAAATACCAACAGAAGTCAAACGAATAGGAAATGGATGATTTGAAGGAAGTCAAATTAAAGAAATTACTATTCGTTCAAATGTAAGAGATATTGGAAATGATTGTTTTGGTTATTGTACGAATTTAACAAAGATTGAAATACATGAAGGAATTAAAGAAATTCCAAAAGGATTTATGAAAATCTTGTTTCTTAATAAAAAAATAAATAATAAAAAATAATAAAAAAAGTCAAGATTCATAACTTAAAAATAATTTAATTTTAAATTTGAAATAAAAAGAAGAACTAATAAACAACAACAAATCAATAATGAGAATAGGATATAATGAAATAATGATAACATCAAAGTATTTTAATGATATTAATGATTTTATTAATTTAGAAATAGGAATTAAAAGATTTCAAGGAAATATGGAACGATTTCATTTTAATCCAATTCCTTTAAATGAACATTCAAGAAAGTTGTTTCCTAATATTGAAACATTTCATATTTATAATTATAATGATAAAACATTTAAAGATGGAAGAATATTTAAATATGTAATATGGAATACAGTAGATTATTCAAAATATTTACAAGAAAAAGAACAAGGAAATATCTGTAAAAATATAGAATATACGCTATGTGATAGAATTAAGTATGGGAATACAATACCATCAGAAGTTAAATCACTTCGACATGATTGTTTTTATAAATGTTCATCATTAACAACAATTAATATACCATCATCAATTATTAAAATAGGACATTGGTGTTTTAAAGAATGTTATTCATTAACATCAATTAGTATAGATAATCTACAATTTATTATTGAAGGTAGAATATTTATGAATGAACCAGTGTTAATTAGTTGTGAAATACCATACAATCTACAAACAATCAATGGAAAGAATATTGAAAAGAAAGATATTAATGAATTTATTATTCCATCTTCAATTACTAAATTAGGTGATTGGTGTTTTTGTTATTGTTATTCATTAACATCAATTATTATACCATCATCTGTTATTAAATTAGGATATCGTTGTTTTTTTTACATGTTGTTCGTTAACATCTATTAATATACCATCATCAATTAGTAAAATAGGAAATGAATGTTTTTATGATTGTAAATCATTAACATCAATTAATATACCATCATCAATTAAATCATTTGGACGTGGATGTTTTTATGGATGTTATTCGTTAAAATCAATTAATATACCATCATCAATTAGTAAAATAGGAAATTATTGTTTTGAAAGCTGTAAATCATTAATATCAATTAATATACCATCATCAATTACAGCATTTGGAGATGTATGTTTTTGTGAATGTGGATGTGTTGAAGAATTAAAGAAAAATGAAAGAATACCAAGAAATTGTTTTGATGAATGTTGTTGAATGAAATAAAAATACAATAAAAGAAATACAATATAAATTGAAGTAGAATTAAATTATAATTGATTATCATTTATATTATTATTATTCTTTTTGATATTATTCTTTTCTATCTTATTGATTGATATGATATATCATTTTTTATATTTATTTTATAATTCTTTTTTTTATTCTTTATTTCTTTTTATTCTTATTTTTATATTCTTATTCTTATCTTTCTTTTTTATTCTATTTCTTTATATCTTTTATTTTATTTATTTTATATCTTTCTTTTCTTTTGTTTATTATTTATTATATATTTTATCTTATTTATCTTTTTACTTCTTTGTTTCATTTATATTTTATATTTATTCATTCTTTATTCATCATTCTGTTTTAATTTATATTAAAAATATTTAGAAATGAGAGAATATAATGTTGAATTTGATTTTATATTTTGATTATTTCATTTATGAAATTGTTGATTAATGATTATTGTTGTTAATTTTCATATTTCATTTTATTTTATTGATGATTTCATTATATTGATTGTTTATGATACAAATAATAATTCTTATTGATTAATATCATCTGATTCATTCATTAAATGTTGAAATATTTCATTTATTTGTATTTATATTGTATATTATGTACATATTGATATATTCATTAATCAAAATGATAAATATAATAACAAAGA